ATATATATATATATATATATATATATATATATTTGAATTATGTAATTTGACAATCAAGAGTTATAAATTCAAAATCATCTTAAAAAAGCTAGTCATATACAAAGTTTGAACAAATTGTTGCCTGTAACAAAAATGGATCTGGATCTAATCTATCAATCTAAAATCCAAAATGTGAAAAGAGATTTTAATTCATTTAAGACATTCCATTGATCATCATCATCATTGTGAAAGACACTCTAGCTCAGGTTCATCTACAAACAAATTAACAATTTCAAGAATTTCACAATCATCAAGTGAATTAAAATCTTTTCTAGCAACGTCTACATTTTTGTTTCCTCTTTAGTGTGGAGTATTCCTTGAAAGAAGTAGAAGATTGCTGTAAACAAATACCAAATTTTTTGTAAATGGAGGATTATTAGGATAAAAATATCTTCAATATGTCCATAGTAATTGATAGAAAAATATCTTCGGAATCTTGCTATTCACTTAAACATATTTTTCTTTTGTTATTTTAGAGAGTTAGATTGTTACAAATATAGGTGATGAGAATGTAATTTGTATGATTATCATTGATAAAATATTGTAAATTTCTTTACATAGTTCAAGTTGGTATAATAACTCCAAATGTTGGGAGCTTTGTTTCTATTGCCACACAAATGTCTGTTGTTGCCAGCACCCTGAGGTTAGCGGTGGGTTAGAAAGGTGTGTATTAAAATGATGATCACAAGGTTGAAAACTGTGTTGCTGATGGAGTCACCGTCATGTGGCACAACTAGTGTCGACATGAGTAGCCCATGCACCTAGTTCCGAAGAGGCTTGAACTTGCAACCTTCAACTTATAAGACGAATTTTTGAGGTGAAATTGATCCCTTTGGACCCAAGATCTTCCAAATGTGGTGGATCCCTACTAGTTTGGTGGCCGAAATTATTTGTAATGGAGCCAATATATTTAGATGATTTTGAAGGGATGGTCAAGATTAGATCACATAAAGGGCAGAGGACTGGGTTCAATTGGCTTTAATTTTGTGATTTGGGATAATGAAGGCTCACTAATCATGATCTGAACGTGGCATTCCATGTTTCTTGAGATAATTTGAAACTATATGTTCTATTCCTTTGCTAAAGAGATATGAGATGACTTATATAACACTTTTCTTTGAAGAAGGATTTTATTGCCTGTTATGACATTTAAAGTAAGGTGTTTTAGATAGGTATCAACATTTGGAGATCTGCAAAACAAATGCAACTACACGAGTTGAAGTCGTGGAAAGAGGAAAAATCTTTAAATTCTTACATGGCTTGAACCATGAATATGACATAGTTAGGATACAAATATCAGGGAAAGAAAAGTTGCATCCTCTTTTGGAAGCATTTTTTATTAGGCTTTTTCATGAAAATAGGACAAGGGATTTTCAAGGGATTAAACAGAGAAGGAGGTCATTAGTAAAAGATAACCATGGAGAATATTGTTCATACAATAGAAGATCTTGACATACTAAGTGTTAGATATATTATATTTTTTATCTTTTAGTTAGTTTGTTATTATTTCTCATTTGTATTTTGGGCTTAGCCCATATTTCTTCTATTATAAATAGAGAACCCTATATGTGTATTTTACACAAGGGAGATTAATCCAAATATAGTTTTTTACTATATTCAACATGGTATCAGAGCAGGTTCTCTGATCTTCTTCCGGGGTCTCTGCTGTCTGTCGGCAGCCGACTGCCATGGCCGCCGGCAACCCCTAAAATCTCAGTGGGCAGTCCATTCTCTTCTTAAATCTGTGCCATAGTCAGCACTAGTGCAGCCAGTCGCCTCTGCCTTCGACCATCGCCAGCCACTGTCCGCCGCTAATCTCTGTCCGCGGCCGGCCACTGTCGCCGTCGCCGTCGCTACCGCCGACCACCGTCACAGTTTCAACGGGTGACCTGCGGATCTGGACCGTACAGGCGACGACCAACCATGCCGGTTCCGAGAGCCACTTCTGAGTCACGCGCCGCCACGCAGCGCTTCTTTCCGGCCAGTCCGCCATCGCCGCCACCGCCGAACGTCGTTTGCTCCGGCGAAGTCAAGGGTTAGGTGCGCCTTGAGAAGCGTAACCCAACCCTAGTGGTCCCGTCCTCCGAATCCTCCGCACCA